TTAAATTCGACATTTATTGTGCTGATAATAATATATCCAGCTTTTTTTCGTGTCACAAAAATGTTCCTGGTCATGATGAATTAATTTATTCACGCAATGGATAAATCTGCCACATACTCAATGGGCTAGCAAAAAATTGAAACATATCCAAAACAATTTTTGGTGGGTCCTCCAATTTTGGGCCCCATTTTATCCAAATTACACATTACAAATTTTAGTGGCCCAATTTTCTCAAGGAGGCTTGTGGGCTTCTCATTTGAGAACCACAATGTTGCAATATTATCTGTTAAGGATATGTGTGGATATAAATCGCCCCTATATATAATTCCTGAATGTGCAAAATCCTACGTGGCTGCTTCTGGTGCTTCGGAATCCTACTTGGCGAAGAATCATGTTTCGTAATTAGGTTCGGACAAATAATATTGATATATTAATAATTATTATCTAGGTTCGGACATTCCATAAATATTATTGAGCTAACTTAGGTATTTTAATATCACTTGTACTAATATAACCCTTTAATTCTTTGTAATTTTACATAGTGAGACACTAAGTCAATAATATATCTCTGACTTTTGATTTGTTTCCTTCAATTAGCTATTGAATTATAAATGTATTTTAAAAGTTGATAACTTTTGTATTTCTTATCGGTTTTACATATATAATATATCAAATTAATCATCTTTTCATTATCTTCGACTTGACATCCATATTGTATATATAAAATAAATAAATAATATTTACCTTTATAATAATAAAAAATAATATTTATTAAATTTTATTAGAAAAATAAAATTATTTCTCAGTTGATATATTTTTGTTTAATGTAGTTATATGTTGTAAGTTATAAAATATTATAATATAACACAAGTAAGTCACACAAATAAAAAGTGTCATACTAAATATATAATAATATATATTTTTTATAAAAGTTAATTAAATTTTCAACTACTTTTTTTTCAATAATTTTAGATTTTAAGAAAAAATTAGCAAGCACCCGTGTAATACACTGGCGTTGTACTAGTATATTTCAATACAAAATAAATTAGCACATTCAGTTTGCTGCAAACATGAGAGTCCTACCTATGCATCTCCATCATCACTATGGCCAACATTTAGACCAAACATTTAAAATACATCCAACTTTTTAGTCACTATCAAAAGTAACATTTAACTTCCAGACAATAATTGTGGGCAAGGGACATTTTATACTGAATACAAAGGGGAGTCATTTTGAATGCTTTTTATGAAAAACCTTTCTACTGACCAGATAACATTCTTCTGAAGCTGAAATAGCCACATAAGAAACGACAAAGACAAATCGACCGGTCCTTCAAGGTCACGTCTGCGAGGAGTCATGTAAACTGCTTAACGTAGGAATTAAGGTTGCAATAGGAAAAGTTTTGGAGAATTCTTGTTCTGCTACGGAATAGGAATGAAATCTTGGTGACGAACATGTGAAATTTTATACGAATCAGTATTTTTTCACTGTATTAATTTATAGTTTGTTATTATTTTTATTGCCCGAGAAAACAGTAAAAGACGTAGGCTATGTTTGTTAGACTAATAAGCTAGCTTACAGCTTATTTGATTAGCTTATAAGTTCCGTTTGGTATGACGGGTTTAGTTAAAAAGTCGTCACAGAGATATCTAGCAAATACACTCCATAACTGGCATTTAGAGGTCAAATTCTCACCTCGGTGCAGTTCCTATTCCCAGCCGGGTCTAGTCTTCGGCTAAAAGTCCTCAATTGAAACCCCCGTTTTATTTCTATCTTCTTCAGGGGCCTTAGAAGTATCTGTGGGAAAGCCTATTTTTTCCATGATCTCCTCTAGGAGCTGAACATTTGTAAGGTACAGATAACCAACCTAGACAGATTGAGATCGAGTTTGGCTTGTTTATCAAACGAGTTGAGCTGAACTTGAACCTTAACTAGCCAAATCGAGCCGAGCCGAGACAAGTTTAATTTAACAACACACGTATTATTGCATAATAAATTAATAGTTTTACATTATTTATTTATGTATGTTTATTTATTTTATTATTTCATTATTAATCTTTTATGAATAAACCAAATGAATATGGTTACGATAATTATACTATAAATCGGCTTAGACGGTTGCTCAAGCGTCGCCCGAATGCCTCCGGTTTTCATGAATTGTCTGAAAAAGTCGGCCAGACGACTAGGAGGGTAGGGCGGTGCTTAGGTGGGCTCAATAACAGTTTTTTTGTTATATATATATATATATATTAGTTATATTATTTTGTTATCATATTTTCTTTATAACATATTAATATTATTGTTGACATCCGAGTTGAAGAATAAGAAAGCTCGGAGTTATATCGTATTTTAGAATCAAATAACGTGCGGAACACGAGACCTCGTGTCGAACTCCAGTGCGGCATCCAGGGGTCGGAAATAGGGATGTCAATAAAACCCATAGGGTCGGGTTACCCGCGGGTTACCCGCATTTTTGGGTCGGGTAAACCCGAGATGAATGGGTTTCGGGTCGGGTTAGGGTAGAATTATGCTACCTGAACCCCGGGTCGGGTCGGGTGCGGGTATAATAGGCAAACCCGTTACCGACCCGATTACCCTACCCGGTTACCCGCAACCATTGAATCATGTATATATACATACATACATACATACATACATACATACATACATATATATATATATATATATATATATGTATGTTTATAACTTATAATAAATATAAGTAGTTACGTGTTATTTTTAAAAATTAGATTACCTATTATAATTTTGATTAATGGTTTTAAATTTATTTTATTTTTTATAATTTTATTATCATTTGTTGTTAATTGTACAATAAAAAAATTAAATACCTAATTTTAAATGTTATAATATTAAATAGACTATAAAAGATAAATAATCATATCTCAGTATTTATTCCAAAAATAATACAATTTTTTTATAGTTCTTTTATTGTCAAACTTAGTTAATAAATTATTTCTTACATTATAATTAATTGTGAAATTATTTTATTTTATTTTCATATGAAACGAGATGGGTCAGTCAAAACCCAAATTTAAGACTCAGGTTACCCGTTTACCCGACGAAAACCCACTAACCCGTCGGGTAAAACCCAACCCGAACCCGAATATCACTAGTCGGGTAACGGGTCAGTTTGGGTAGGGTAAATTACATGCGGGTCGGGTTCGGGTTTGCCAAAACTCGTACCCAACCCGACCCATTTACATCCCTAGTCGGAAATCTGGTGTCCCAACTTCAACACGTCACAAGAATCATGGAGAAATTACGCCAAGTACTAAAGACAGAATCTCATGTCGGACTCCCACACAACATCCAAGTCGGCTTCTCGAAAATGGGTTGAAATGAAGACGAAGATACAAGTTGTCGCTAACAACTCGACCTCAAAGAGTTACAGAGGTTATGGTCTCAGAAATGCACCAAGAAGAATAATAGAATAATCCCACTTGCAGTTAAATGATGATCGATGGGACATGGGCACATGCTCTGCACACATTAAAACTTTTAGGTCCCTAGAGTTGCATGTGTGCATTAAATGTATGTCTTTCAACATTATATTGGTGTACCTCGATGAACAATAGTTGACATAGTCTATTATAAGCAGTCTTATGAACCCATTTTAGAAAGGGCTGATTAATAAATTCTCTTTGTAATCAGACAAAAAATATCTCATTTAATATTGCATTTAACAACTACTACACAACTGTAAAACTTTCGTTTTTTTCTCTCTCTCTACAATAAAAAAAATCCCCAATCCTAAAAACCCTATAGTACGCCGCTGCCTTCTCCGGCGGGCCGCCGGGCGCGGCGATGGCGGCTGACCCACAAATACTCGACCCTCTCTTAGTGGTGACGACTCCGGCGCTTTCCAATCGGCGATCGATTGATGGACCTGAAGGGTTTTCGACGAGCTGCTGGTCGCCCTCTCGGTTTGGTCGGCTGTTCCCGGTCGGTGAGTTCTTGTCGGAAATTGAAGCTTCTATGGAGATGGGGCGGGGGTCCGAAGGCCTTGGGGCTGTGGTGGTCGTTCGGAGTTGGAGGCGGTTTCTTTCTCTCCCTGGGTTCCTGTGGCTTTCGCCGGGTGGTTGAGGTGGTGAAGCGGTGGGGTGGGGCTGAGCTGACTCTGTTTGTGGGCGGGTCGGTTACCTGGTTGCGGGATCGAGTCCTTTAGCCTGTTTCTAGTTAGGTGCTTTTTAGTTTTAGTTTCTGGATCCAGGGTGGGGTGCGATCCGGTCCGTTTGGTTAGCCGGCTTTTCTGTTGCTATTGTGGTGCCTCGCGTGTTGTCCTGTTGCGAGAAGGGCTTCTTTTTGTTTGTTTGTTTGTTGTTTGTATTGTTTTGTGTGTTTTGTGCGTTGTTTGTTTTGTTGTGTGTTGTTTTTGTGTTTTATTCTCTGGTGTCGGAGTTGTGTTATTACCCTGTGGGGGTTGTCGTGTTATTACCCTGTGGGGGTTGTCTTATTCTCCTTTGGGGAGTTTGTGTATTCTCCTGTGAGGAGTTTTTTATGTTTAGTCTTGTAGGGTGTGTTGTGGATTTTAGGCTGCCTAGTGTAGTCCTCCCATTCCGACTATTGAGTCGGTTATAATTATGTGTTTTAGTTAATGGATCTATCGTTTCGACAAAAAAAAAAAAATATTGCATTTAACGCGAAGAAAATCCGTCCTCAGGGAAAACCCATTTCACGCAAATTCTTTGTTTTAATTCGTATTTTACTTTTAATATATTAAAATCCACACTAAATTTTATAATTTTAGTTAATTAAATTTTTTTATAAATAGTTATTATTCCATTGAATATGTGTACTTATTATAAGTTGAGATTATTTATTTTATATGTAGTTAACATAAAAAATTATTTAATCTTAAATTTTTAACCGGGCCAAGTGTAAGTGTGTAACTATATATTCGCCGGCTCATTTCAGCGCATTCTTTCACACTGCCCCACCCCAAAACCCTAGCTTCGCCGCTAACCTCAAACTTTCACCAATGGCAGCCGCCGCCGCCCGCCCCCTCGTCACCGTCCAGACCGTGGAGAACGACATGGCCACCGATGGAGGCGCCGCCGCCAAATCCCTTCCCCTCCCGGACGTCATGAAGGCGGCGATCCGCCCCGACATCGTCACGTTCGTCCACAGCCAGATCTCAAATAACTCTCGCCAGCCCTACGCCGTCTCCAAGCGCGCCGGCCACCAGACCTCCGCCGAGTCCTGGGGAACTGGCCGCGCCGTCTCCCGTATCCCTCGCGTCCCCGGTGGAGGAACCCACCGCGCCGGCCAGGGAGCCTTCGGGAACATGTGCAGGGGCGGCCGCATGTTCGCACCCACCAAGATCTGGCGTCGCTGGCACAGAGCCGTCAACGTAACCCAGAAGAGGCACGCTGTAGTGTCGGCGATTGCCGCATCTGCTGTCCCCTCGCTCGTGCTCGCTCGCGGCCACAGGATTGAGGAAGCTCCGGAGCTCCCCTTGGTCGTGTCGGACACTGTCGAGGCTGTTGAGAAGACCAGCGCCGCCATCAAGATACTCAAACAAGTCGGTGCATACCCTGATGCTGAGAAGGCTAAGGATAGCCACGCCATTCGTGCTGGAAAGGGTAAAATGCGCAACCGCCGGTACATCTCCCGGAAAGGCCCTCTGGTTGTGTACGGGACTGAAGGTGCCAAGCTGACCAAGGCTTTCAGGAACATCCCCGGAGTTGAGCTGGCCCATGTGTCCCGCCTCAATCTTCTCAAGCTTGCCCCCGGAGGTCATCTTGGGAGGTTCATTATCTGGACGCAATCTGCTTTTGAGAAGCTGGATGAGATCTACGGGACTTTCGACACGCCATCTGAGAAGAAGAAGGGGTATGTGTTGCCTAGGACCAAGATGGTGAATGCTGACTTGGCAAGGATTATCAACTCTGATGAGGTGCAGTCTGTTGTGAAGCCTATCAAGAAGGAGGTCAAGAGGGCTCCATTGAAGAAGAATCCGCTGAAGAATCTGAACGTGATGTTGAAGCTCAACCCGTATGCCAAGGCTGCCAAGAGGATGACCTTGTTGGCCGAGGCCCAGAGAGTGCAAGCTAAGAAGGAGAAGCTTGACAAGAAGAGGAAGCAGATCACAAAGGTACATTGTTGTTTTATTCTCTATTCTTATGTATTATGCTTAATAAGTTGCATCATGCTTATATTTGTTCACGGTTATGCAGTTTGTTATTGTTGTGTTTGTAGCTATAAGAATTTTTATCACTCAATTTTGTTTTATATCAATCTCAGCATAATTGGTTAAAGGATCTTGTAGACTCTTCATCTATATTATTTATGCTGATTCATTATTCTAATGTGTGATTGGTTTCAAAACATATAATAGTATCTTAGAAGTCCATATGAGAATTTGGAAGCTGGAGAATATTATTTGTGACTTCGTGGTTAAACTATGTTCCCAGCTTACGAATATGCAGTTAACATTTGTATGGGACAAAAAGATGTAGATCGTTTTAAGGAGGCACCTAATATTTACTTTACATATTCATCACCATATTATATAATATACCTCAGTTACTTGTTTTTTTTGCTGATTTGAGCCTAACCTTGTTTTGTTAACATGAGATTCTTGTATGTTTTGTTTGTGACTTTTCTTCTTAATGTTAGCTGAGGTTCCTGCTCTTAGTGGTGACATCAGTGATAAAATAGGTGATACATTTTACTGTGTTAGGCTCGTACTTGTTTATTAGGGCTCCATTTGGGCTTGAAAGTATTTCACTAATTTGGTTTGTACAGTTGACAGATTTTATATTCTATACGTAGTTTAGTGATTGTATACTTGGTTCTCTTAGAAGTTTGTTTAGTAATATGGAGTAAAATCTTCTAAGAGAGATGCTATAGGACGTAGGTACATAATATTGTACATAGAGCTGTACTTGTATGGGTACATTTATTATGTACTTGTAGCATTTCCCATCTTCTAATACTCCCTCCCTTTCCGCCCCACAAAGATAATCTTTGTACAAATTTACAGTTCTACAATCTTCAATCTTTATTTATTGCTGCTGTTGGTTAAATAATTAGGAATAATTTTTGTATGTACCTTCTAACTTATTAATTATTATTTTTGGACTGTTTTTCTTTGATGTCTAACCAAATTATAGCTATAGAGGACACAGGAAGTACATTATAAATAGCCTTTTCAAGAAACAAGTATCTTTGTGGACTCAGGAAGAATATAGATAGCGGTATACATGTAAATGAAAATTAATTCCACCCTGTAGGTAAATTACAGAACTATTCTTGTGGAAACATGTGAAATTGTAACGTCGATTTACATTTCTGGTGGACTGATTATACAATCTGGAACCTCTGTTTATGGACTGATTCTGATTTCTTGTGTTTGTTTCCTTCCATTTTTTTCATTTGCAGGAAGAGGCTTCTGCAATCCAATCCGCCGGCAAAGCTTGGTACAAGACAATGATCTCTGACAGTGACTACACAGAATTTGAGAACTTCACCAAGTGGTTGGGCGTCTCTCAGTGATTCAATGTCTATTTTAATGTCTGCTAAAACCCGTACTTTTTATGCTTTATGTTTTTCGGTTTTGACATTGATTTTTGAGGACACAAATGGGACGATATGGGATGGGGATGACTACAATGATTTTCTTAAGTCATCAAAAGTTTCTCCTTCCCATGTTTTATCGCCCAGACTTCTGCTTAGTTTGAGAAGATTTTGCTTAAGACTATTTTATGGAGTTATTTATTTTCATGTGATCAAGTTGTGGTTTTCTTCATTTTATTTTCCTGCTATCTCGTCCTCTATCTGTAGTATGATATGATTCTAGTTTTTTGCAGTATCCGTATCTGTGAGTGTACGTGCTTTTGGGCTGTGCTTCTATCATTGTATTGGTAGCATGAAATGCAGAAAGTACTCTCTTCTTTTGTACCCATAATATTGCTTGTGGTTATTACATATTACAGGTAGGGCTGCAAACTAGCCGTGCCGAGCCGAACATGCACGGTTGATTATTTATTTTTTTTTTTTTTGAGATGCTCAAGCTTGATTTATGAGGCTCGAGCTCAACTCGAAAAAGAAATACAATAGCCCGAGCTTGGCTTGAATCCAAAATGAGCTCGAGTTCGGTTCGAAAATTTTCAAGCAATTTTGTAAAATTACCGTTAAGTATATATATTAATATTATGATACATATATATATCACAGATATTTTAATAATTTAATATATGTTTCGAGCCGCTTGACAAGGCAAAATTTGGGTTCAAGCTTGACTCGACTCGAGTCCGTGCTCGAGCGCTCAGCTCGTTTGCAGCTCTAATCAGAGGCTACAAGCCTACAACCCATTCACAAAGTTCTTTGTTGTTAGGTTATACCTCACCCTCATGGTATGTTTGGTTCAAGAAAGGGAGGAGAATGATTTTAATGGAAGGGAGGTTACGGGAGTGGAGGTGATGTAAAATAATTTTATCTTGTTTGAAGAGATTTTGTAAGAGGTGAGTGGAGGAAAAATGGTAAACTTTTGTTTGGTTAGAAAAATGGAAAGAAAAAAAAATCGTGTAAAATGACAGTTATATCCTTAATGATGTAAGAAACAAAAAAATAAAATAATTCACATAATAAGGTCAAAAGAGTAATTTTGTTACAAATTTTGTCTCCCCTCAAAGTTCTCCCAATTTTGGAGGGAAGAAGTTTTCTCTTGGGGGAAAGATTTAAAGGGAAAATCCTAATCTATTTCGCTACAAAAAATTGAACCAAACAAGAGAAAATTTAAAAATTCATTCACCTCCCCTATTCTCCCCCCAGTTTCCCCCGAATCAAACAATGTGTCAGTGACTGAAGGTACCCAGGTTAAAGGTGACTTCTTGAAAGTGATGATAAATAGATAGATAGATACCACGAGAGATTTTCATCATTTTTTAACAAAATGAATTTTCCGAACCTTATTGGCTTTGAATCGATCTGAGCAGTATTTTCAAAGGCTTGGAAGATGGAAATTCGAAACTCAAACAATTCTTGATTTAGCAAGTTTTGAACATTTGAATCGATCTGAGCAGTATTTTCAAAGGCTTGTTTGGGCTGTATCTATCTATATTATATCTGATTTAGCAAGTTTTGTTATATAGGCTATGTTTGATAAAACTAGCTGATAAGCTAAGCTGATAGCTGATAAGCTAGCTTATAGTTTATATGTAATTTTCGAGCTTATAGCTTATAGCTTATGACTTATAGCTGAAAAGCTAGCTTATATGATAAAAGTTTTTGGTAAAATTAGCTGATAAGCTAACTGGAATAAAAAATTCAACTAGCTTATTTGAAAAACTACCTAAACAAGCTTATCAAATAAGCTCGAGCTTTTTAAAGAAGCTCGTCATACCAAACGAAGCTTATTTGAATACATGGAGCTTATAAGCTAACCAAATAAGCTATAAGCTAGCTTATTTGGTTTACCTAACACGTATAATAAGCTAGCTTATAACTTATTTGGTTAGCTTATAAGTTTTCTGTATCAAATAAGCCTCGTTTGGTAGGACGGACTTATTTAAAAAACTCGAGCTTATTTGATAAGCTTGTTTAGGTAGCGTTTCAAAATAAGCTAGTTGACTTTTTTATTTCAGCTAGCTTATAAGTTAGTTTTACCAAACACTTTTATCTAGCTTTTCAGCTATAAATCATAAGCTATAAACTATAAGCTAGCTTATAGCTTATCAGCTACCAGCTAGCTTATAAGCTACCAGCTAGCTTATAAGCTACCAGCTAGCTTATAAGCTATCAGCTAGCTTATCAAACCCACCCGAAATTACACGTTAAATTTCACCTTCGAATATAAAATTTTCAATAATTCATCTTAAAATTTAAAATTTTTATAAGTTTTAGATTTAAAAAGTTTTAAAAATATAACTAAAATCTCAAACGAATACATACCTTTGTATAATCATTATTATATTGTACAAATTTCTAATATCATATTATCACACATAATTTTATCTTCATTTATTATTTGAAGAAAAATAATATTTTGACTTCAATGATAATTATATATACCTATTTTAACGATAATATGATGGGTAAAACTATGAATTTCGACGTCAATATTAAAACAAATAAGTTGTGCAGTTAATACATGTAAAAGTTTACTTATTCGAACAATAAGGTTCAAAATTATATGATATTGAATAAAAAATTATCATTGTAAAATAACTATATTGTGAACCAAAAAAATAAATCATACACATTATCATGTAATATCAATATTTTTTCCTATACATTTTTCATATTTAATTTTCCATAAACTTCAAGCGTGAATTGTGGTTCATTTAATTTTTAATACACTCTTATATTTTTTTACTCTGGTCTATAGAGGACCAAATAAATTGGAATGTCATGCTCTTTACTTAACTCGACTTCAAATAATCTACAAAACATCGGAATTACTACCCAATATAGTTTTTTTTTTTTTTTTGGTACAGGGACCTTCCGGTTTTCAGATCCACAGGGGAACCGACTAATCCGGAATCGAGCCGGGTAGGACCACAAGGGCGGTAAAGTTCTCCCTCAAGAGTTTTAACGCTGCTGCATTCTCAGGGCTCGAACTCGAGACCACTGGTTAAGTTGGAAGAGACCCATACCATCTCATCCAAGCGCTCTTGGGTTACCCAATATAGTTTATTTCAGATAAATTATCGTAAAGAAGTCGGGGAGCTTATTTAATTAAGAAAAAAATATATAAGTGGCCAACATTAAAAAAAAATAAAAATGGTGTAGACATGAATAAAACGTCCGGATTTTGAGAATTCGTATTCAAAAAAAATTTCTTTTTAAAATATGGATTTTGAGAATCAGTATTTTTTTTACGGTCAAATTTATTAAATTAAATAAAAAATATTTTTTAAAAATGGATTTTAAAAATTCGTTTTTAATAAAAAATATATTTTTATTTAATTTTTTTAAGAAAATAATTTTTTTAAAAAGATATTTTTTATTTAATTTTATTTTTGTATAAAAAATTATATTTTAATAAACAAATTATTTTTTATTTAAAATTTTTTTGTATAAAAATTTATTTTTTAATAAAATCCGTTTTTAAAGAAATATATTTCTTATTTAATTTTTTTATAATTTTTTTTTAAAAAAATATTTTTTATTTAATTTTAATTTTGTATACAAAATTATTTTTCATAAACAAATTATTTCTTATTTAAATTTTTTTGTATAAGAAATTATTTTTTAATAAAAAAATCCATTTTCAAAATTCGTTTATTTTGTATTTTATTTTTTACTTAAAAATAAAAATAACTCGAATTAGTCTATTTGAAGTCAAATTAGGGAACAAATATCTCCAAAGCTGCCCCCCTTTCTCCGCCGCTAGAGAAAAAGAAAACCTATCTCCAAAGCTGCCCCCCCTTCTCCAGCGGCGCGACTCCCGTGGTCACCGGGCCGTTCCGGCCAAGTCGCGGCTGGGTGTTCCTTTCCGCCTCTAGGAGAGCTGCGGGTGGTTGGCCAGCGGCGATTTTCGCTCCTCGGTTTATTCCCCACCTCCGGCGAGGTCATCGGCTTCTCTTGCAAGGCCCAGCCGCGGGAGTTCGTCGGTTCGGTTGGAGGCTCGATTTACACTGTCATGTTCATCCTGGAGACGGACCTTGGCGTGGGCGAGCCCAACTCGCGTCTCGTGCGCCCCTGTTCAGTCGGGCTGCAGGTCCTTCGGGTCGGGCGGCTCGATTGCAGGTTGTCGTCTCCTCGATCTCTCCCTTCTAGGCCTCCGGCGGGTTCGTGATGGCTCTCCTTCTTTTCCCCGGCGGTGAAGGTCTTCGGGGCTCAGATTTGGGCCGAAAATTCGTCTAGGCGGTAGAGTGACCGCATTTTTCGAGTTTGGAGCCTAGTTTTGATGCTCGGTTGGTTTTCTTTGTTGGGGTTTGACTTGGTAGACGGTTCATGTGATTTTGGGTGTCAGCTGTTAGGTTTAGGGGAGGTTTTACTCTATCTTGTTGTTTATTAGGTGTGTGTTGCGTTTGATTTTTATTTTGTTGTGTTGTTTCTTTTAGTGCAGCTGTGTCTGCTTTTAGTGCAGCGGTGTCTGCTTTTTTCTCCTATATGAAGTTTTGTTTTGTAGGTGTTCACCTCCTTGATGGAGTTTGTACTCCTTGTGTGTGTCGACAAGGAGGTTAGTCCAGTTTTGTGGTCTAGTGTGTCATTTGACATTTCGGTTATTCTCTTTTGAGATTTTAGTTATTAATATAATTGACATTGGAAAAAAAAAAGAAGTCAAATTAGTACAATTGAACTCGAATTAGTCCAATTGAAGTCTAATTAATACAATTGAAGTCAAATTAGTACAATTGAAGTCAAATTAGTACATTCTCGGTCAATTATAATATAATTGAACTCGAATTAGTATAATTGAAGTAAAAAATTATTATAATTGAAGTTAAATTAGTGCAATTGAAGTCAGATTAGTACAATTGAACTCGAATTAGTCAAATTGAACTTGAATTAGTCCAATTGAAGTCAAATTAGTACAATTGAAGTCAAATTAGTACAATTGAAGTCAATTATATTGTAATCGAACTCGAATTAGTCCAATTGAGGTCCAATTAGTAAAATCTCAGACAATTATATTGTAATCGAACTCGAATTAGTCCAATTGAACTCGAATTAGTCTAATTGAAGTTAAATCAGTACAATTGAAGTCAAATTAGTACATTCTCGGTCAATTATAGTGTAATTGAACACCAATTAGTACAATTGAAGTCAAATCAGTGCAATTGAAGTCAAATTAGTACATTCTCGGTCAATTATAGTGTAATTGCTCGAATTAGTATAATTGAAGTCAAATTAGTACAATTGAAGTCAAATTAGTGCAATTGAGGTCAAATTAGTACATTCTCGGTTAATTATAGTGTAATTAAACTTGAATTAGTATAATTGAAGTCAAATTAGTACAACTGAAGTCAATTATATTGTAATTGAAGTTAAATTAGTACAATCTCGGACAATTATATTGTAATCGAACTTAAATTAGTATAATTGAAGTTAAATTAGTACAACCGCGGTCAATTATAGTGTAATCGAACTCGAATTAGTCCAATTGAAGTCAAATTAGTACATTCTCGGTCAATTATAGTGTAATTGAACTCGAATTAGTATAATTGAAGTCAAACTAATACAATTAAAATAAATTATATTGTAATCGAACTCAAATTAGTATAATTGAAGTCAAATTAGTGCAATTGAAGTCAAATTAGTACAATCTCGGACAACGATATTGTAATTGAAGTCAAATTAGTACAATTGAACTCGAATTATTCCAATTGAACTCAAATTATTCCAATTGAACTCAAATTAGTCCAATTGAAGTTGAATTAGTACAATTAAAGTCAAATTAGTACAATCTCAGTCAATTATATTGTAATCGAACTCGAATTAGTCCAATTGAGGTCCAATTAATAAAATCTAGGACAATTATATTGTAATCGAACTAGAATTAGTCCAATTGAACTCGAATTAGTATAATTGAAGTCAAATTACTACAATTGAAGTCAAATTAGTGCAATTGAAGTCAACTTAGTACAATTGAAGTCAAATTAGTACATTCTCGGTCAATTATAGTGTAATTGAGCTCGAATTAGTATAATTGAAGTCAATTAGTACGATTGAAGTCAAATTAGTACAATTGAAGGCAAATTAGTACAATTCGAGTTAACTTAGTGCAATTGAAGTCAAATTAGTACAATCTCGGACAATTATATTGTAATCAAACTTAAATTAGTCTAATTGAAGTCAAATTAGTACAACTGCGGTCAATTATAGTGTAATCAAACTCGAATTAGTCCAATTGAAGTCAAATTAGTACATTCTCGGTCAATTATAGTGTTATCGAGTCAAATTCGTACAATATCGGTAAATTATATTGTAATCGAACTCAATAAAGTCAAATTGAGGTCCAATTAGTACAATCTCGGTCAATTATAGTGTAATCGAACTCGAATTAGTCCAATTGAAGTCAAATTAGTACATTCTGGGTCAATTATAGTGTAATCGAAGTCAAATTAGTACAATATTCGTCAATTATATTGTAATCGAACTCGAATTAGTCCAATTGAGGTCCAATTAGTACAATCTCGGACAATTATATTGTAATCGAACTCGAATTAGTCCAATTGAAGTCAAATTAATACATTCTCGGTCAATTATAGTGTAATTGCACCTGGAATTAGTACAATTGAAGTCAAATTAATGCAATTGAAGTCAAATTAGTACATTTTCAGTCAATTATAGTGTAATTGAACGACAATTAGTACAATTGAAGTCAAATTAGTATATTCTCGATCAATTATAGTGTAATTGAACTCGAATTAGTACAATTGTTTTAATTCGACTTCAATTGTACTAATTTGACTTCATTGGACTAATTCGAGCTCGATTACAATCTAATTTGACTTCAATTGTACTAATTCGACTTCAATTGTACTAATTTGACTTCAATTTGACTAATTCGAGTTCAATTAGACTAATTTGGCTTCAATTAGACTGATTCGAGTTATAAATTAAATTTATTTTTATTTTTAAATTCGACTTTTTTATTTTAAAAATAATTAAGTAAAAAATAAAATACAAAATAAACGAATTTTGAAACAGATTTTGAAAATGGATTTCTTTTATTAAAAAATAATTTTTTATACAAAAAAACATTTACATAAAAAATATATTTTTTATTAAAAAATAATTTTTTATACAAAAAAAGTAATTAAAAAATATTTTTTTTATTAAAAACGGATTTTAAAAATCCTTTTTTAATAAAAATATATTTTTTATTTAATTTTTAAATTCGACCTTTAAAAAAAATAAAAAAAATAAAAAATAAAAACGGATTCTCAAAATCCGTTTTTCAAATAATTTATTTTAAAACGGATTCTAAGAATCCGTTTTTTAACTAAAAAAAAATAAATAAAAATTAAACACGGATTCCGAGAATCTGTTTTTGTTGAAAAACGAATTCTGAGAATCCGTTTTTCTTTCAAACACGGATTCCAAAAATCCAGTTGTTTTATTTTGGTCCACAACATTTTTTTTTTGCCACAGATTTTGTTTATTTATTTTTTATTTAAATACTAGTTGGCCAACAGCTGTGCACGCACAGCCGGCTCCAGTCCAGTCGATAATGACAACTAATATTTAGGGAGATTTAAAAATACACATACACACCTTTTATAAATATTGATAATTCAGTTGGTAAGTGAAGTGCAGGATAAAAGGTTTTCAAGTAAACATATAATGAAAAAGGGAAAATAACAACAAATTAAGAGGTCCAAAACAAAAGTGAATTCTTGACATAGGCAAAATGGGATACCAAATTTAGTACTTGTCAACTTTGAAAGTGATGGGTTCATCTGACGAGCTGATAAGTGTGGACTTTCCAGGTAGACCCTTCCATAATGCGAGTGTCACGAACAAAATAACGTGCGTCATTATTTTGCAGTAACTTCTCGCCATGTCCTTGAATGACATCAAGCAGATACGAACCATCGTCTGTCTGTAAGACTGCCTGGGAGTAACCCCGAATTCTAAAAACGCACACAAAGTCATAAATTAGGTTTCTTGATAGGGATATTTGGGTATAATTAACCATGAGACAGATAGGCAGCAAATCGAATCACAAAATACAAGTAATTAGATTACTCACCAGTTATTTTGCTGCTCAAATTTTTGGGGCCGATGTAGTTGTGATGTCGGTCGAGCAGCACGATGATGTTTTGTGCGTGTTTAAGTGGGTATTTTTTTTTTTGGTG